TGTGTGTGTGTGTGTGTGTGTGTGTGTGTGTGTGTGTGTGTGTGTGTGTGTGTGTGTGTGCGCGCGCGCGCGCGTTTTGTTGCTGTGCAATTCGAGCTTGTAGTGCATCACATTTACAAACATTTATTACTATAGCAACCTGACGGCTACCACAGCTTATATCCTTAGCAATGTTATTAAGCTCCTTCTCTTCAGAATGCTTGTCACACTATGCCTTACATTTTTTATCTTTTTATTGTTCATACAAGGCAGCACTCGTCCATGTGTGAGTATCCACAAATCTCCCATCATTGACATCCACAAACTCTTACTCACTTGTGCCAGACTATTTCTCGTATCATTTTAAAGTGAATTCATACTTTTACAGATTCTAGAGTTATTGTGACTGGAGCCAAAACCACATTTGATTGCCTGACTTGTCTTTGTTCCTATATCGTCACTTGTGCACTTTATGTGTGTGTGTGTGTGTGTGTGTGTGTGTGTGTGTGTGTGCCAGAACAAGAGCGCAAGCATGATCAGTCTGGAGGGTAAATATAGCCATTTAGAAAGGCTAAAAGCGGTATAGAGGGGGAGGGGACTACAAGGGTATCCAGAACAGTGATGGCGGGGGCCGCTGATCATTGACTGTTTTTTGAGAGTCTTAATGAGCAGAAAGTCAATGCTACAGTATTTTTACATCTATGGGGGAGTTTAACCACTACTAACTACAACTTTTTAAGCTTGTTTATTTAAAATCGCGATCAATTGGAAGTAGCGACAGATCTTTTCTTCTGTATTGTGGCGTACATCCAAGTTTAGTGGATTTTTGAAAAACCAAAAAATATAAGGCAAGACTTGGTTCTGTCCATTGGTTATTGATTGGATTTTGAGTTGTGGGCATTGGCCTCAACACTGGGGGCAGAAGAGCTTGGGGTTTAATTATACTACTGTATATGATTGGTGAAGTCCTGTATATGTCACCAGAGAAAAGTCATTTTCACCGGAAGATCCATTTTGATTAAACATTACAAAGTCAATTTTTTGAAAAGTGAAATGTATGCATGGATTAATTTTCACAATAAGATCTATAACATGCATTTAGAAAATAGATAAGATGAATTTTCACGTTATGCCGACTTTAAAGGGGTCATATGATGCGATTTAAATTTTTCCTTATATATTGATTATTTATTCTTAAAGACTTAAGAATAACCATTTCAGAGTTATGAATACTTATTTTTTTAACTAGTAGATATTCCAGTAATGCCTAGAATTTATCTTCACTGAAAACTTGGTTACAAAGTTGTCCTTATTCACTAAATATTATACGGTGGTTCAGATATCATGCAGCTATTTAATTGTTAAAAGTTCCCATTACAGTTAATATTTATTAGATATGCTCATTCTTTAGGCCCACTAATTACTAAAACTAAAAAATGTTCATTCTTACTAACAATTGCAAAATATATTTTTCCTAATCTTTTATAATTACCATACAAGTTCAGTGAAAAGTCTTACTAATAAAACTGCTGTGTACTATTCTGAAGCAACTACTTTCTGATATCTGAATGACAGTGGCCAATAAAATGTAGTTATATGTACAGGGAAAAGTTGCTAGTAATAACTGGAATAATTTTATTTCATATAGAAAACAACATGTCTATGGAAGCCCATTTCCGCCACTGAATAAAAAAAAAAAAAAGGTAATTGCTTTTTATCTCACAATTCTGACTTTTTTTCACAGAATTGTGAGATATAAACTCGCAAATGCGAGTTATAAAGTCCAGTTTTGACGGGGGGGAGAAGACTGTTCTCAGCGAGTTTATATCTCTCAATTCTGACTTAACTCACAATTGCGTCTTATAAAGTCAGAATTGCGTATAAAGTCAGAATTGCGAGATATAAAGTCACAATTGCGAGATAAAAACTCCCAATTCTTTTTTTTTTCTCGCAATTGCGAGTTTATATCTCGCAATTCTGACTTTTTTTTCTCTCAATTCTTTCTCAGAACTGCGAGATATAAACTCGCAATTGCGAGTTATAAAGTCAGAATTGCGAGATATAAAGTCAGAATTCTGACTTTTCTCAGAATTGCGTGATATAAACTCACAGCTGCGAGCTATAAAGTCAGAATTGTGAGATATAAAGTCACAATTGCGAGATAAAAACTCCCAGTTCTTACTTTTTTTCTCGCAATTGCGAGTTTATATCTCGCAATTCTGACTTTTTTTTCTCGCAATTCTTTCTCAGAATTCCGTGATATAAACTCGCAATTGCGAGACATAAAGTCGCAATTCTGAGAAATAAAGTCAGAACTGCGAGATATAAACTCGCAATTGTGAGTTATAAAGTCAGAATTGCGAGATATAAAGTCAGAATTCTG